CTCTTCTCCATCATGAAACAGTTCTGCTCTTACAGCTCCCTGATGTTTCCTGTCTTTCGGACGAGTGGAGCAACAATGTAAACCACCAAGAAGTTCCTCCAGGAGACCTCCACGGATGAGAGTGGTGGGGATGGTGAGCAGTGCTTTGGGGATGAGCAGACGTAAAGCATATATGCATATAGCCAAAAGAAAAGAGGTGCACATATTCCTGTTTGTATAGCAAGACTTCTATTGGAATAAACTATTAAACTTGCTGTCTAGTGTGTAAGCCAAGACTCAGAGCATTACAACGGGAGTACGGCACTTGACCCAACACAGACTCCTGGAGTAGTTTCTGTTTTCTATGAAATCTAGTGACTTTACCCCTAGCCCATTTATTTCCCTGAAGAGGGAAAAACTATTAAGATACAGTAAGTGTTTGCTATGAATGAAGTCATAATTGCCCTTATCTGAAAACCTGAATGAATATACATAACTCCATCCGTGCATTTTCCTATAACAAAGCACTGCCTTGGACCAGTGACAAAGTCCTTGGTCTCTGCTGCTCTTAAGCCTCACCAAAACAAGGAACATTCCTTTCTTTAAAGGACAGCTTCTATTTTCCCTCTGGAAAAAAAAAAATCACACACCTCCCTCTGCCCCTAACTTGAAAAGTCAAAGGGTAACAGAGTACTATATAGTTCATGATGATTTTTTTTTCTCTCACTTTCCTCATATCCAAAGAGAGACAGTAATTACTGTATTGCCTCTCACCTAAGACATGGATAAAAAATAAGCTGGTGTCACATGGCTGTTTCATGCTATGACTGCTTGTTTGCAAGGCTGGCTGAGCTATCCAATTACTTTTTGACAGCAACACTCCAAAGGTGCAAACAGACCCATTCCTCAAGATCCTGAGGTGGCCAACTGGATGTACCCAAAGCTTGGGCCCGTGCTGCACTATCAGGGCTCAGCAGTGCTTATGCTTGCAGCTGTCCCCTGCTCCTCTTGCTATCTGTGCCATGATGACAGATACCCCAATTTCTCTCGCTGGCTCCGTCTGTGGATCCAGCACACGTCCATGATTAGATTAACAAAACACAAGTACAGCAGAATTGGAACAACAGTGATGCTGTTAATTGCTTTTAACCTCTAGCTCTTTTTAGAAACTGTCCTTAGCCCAAGAACCAAAAAATCTGCTGTTACAACCAAGCAGTCATCTGGTCCGCTTTCTCCTCATGAACTTAACACAAAGGAAAACTGTCTGTTGTTTTCCTTCATACATTCTACTTTTCAGCCTTCAAAGTAATAAGCTTTAGCAAACAGTCCATCCTGCACGCATCCCTTTTGTTCTAATGCATCTCTTTTGTTCTAGTTTTACAGCATTGCACCCAAGTGCCTGTACTAGGACCACATGCTAAATACCCTACAGGCAAAGGGAAACTTCATTTTTCTACTCATGAGGTAATCAGCTTGGTTCAGCTTTTACACCCCTGAAGTTTTCAGCACTGGGAAAAGAAATGCAGACCACAGGTTGGATGTGAAATAGATGGCAAAAATATCCAGCCACACCCATTCTATGAAAAATTGGGCAAGGTTGCAGAGTGGGAGTGGAAGGAGCAGAAATCTACCTGGATCCTGAAACTGAGACCATGACCATGGGGTGGACAGGCATGCTCTTCATTCACCAGTAGAAGAGGAAACCCATGGCCAGTTTCTGTTCCCTTCCTCCTGATTTCAGTGGTATAACAACTCCAAATCCACACCACTACTAAGCCATAATGAGCAACAATGGGAAACAAAGCCAGATATATTTTTTACTAATCCATAATTAGATGCTACCTTCAGGAAATATCTGAAATAGTCTTGTATGCCTTAGGATAAAGTGAGTATAGTTTTCATTACAGAACACATTACATCAGGCAAGTTTGGGGTTATAACTGAAATTCCTGGTATGATAAATGAGAATATGAAAAATAACATTATGATTAATTACTTGGGGGGGGGAATAGTAGATAAAAGAGGATATGAAGCTGAAAAGAGCCATAAACAGTGTCATATCTGCTAAATCAGAAAAAGACATAGCTGTATGTCTAAAGGAGGGATGCACTAACACAGACACCATCTTCCAGACTGATGCCCAGGAGCTTCATGAAGGAAGAAGAGGGGATGTGATGTCATACAGAGATGCTGGCCATCATACAGGAATATGGATAGCTAGAGCAGTCTTGCCTAGCTATGCTATCACGTAGGGATGTTATCACGTAGCAGGAGGCTGCAAATATGGTGAATAATATCAGGGACAAAACAGATTTAAGTGAGAAATTTAAAGACACATCCAGCTGGAAGATGTCTCACTGCTTTCTGCTCTCACAATAGAAACATGAAAACTCAGCGCTGGCCCAGGACATGGAAAAGTGGAGTCAGGTCAGGAACTGGATAATAGGGTGGTTCTGGGGAGAAAGGATCATTTTCTCCCTGTTTTAGAACAGAGGATGCTGCCTGAAGGCTCTGGGAAAAATGCCAGCACAGACAGAATGTTTTACTTGGGATAATACAGATACTTTCATGCAAAAGGTGTCTAGGCTGGGAAGGCTGGAAGGGGATTTTTGAACAGGTATGCAAGCTTGTTGTATCAACCTTGGGCAGGGAAAGATTCTGACCATACAACTCAAGGCTCACACTTCAACCCCCTGAGCTTTTATCGCATGCTTGTAAATAAAACATTAATGAAACAGCTCCTTTAAAGATGGATATATATTTAAATATTAAGAGGAAGACAACTGTGAAAACCGCAGTGCCCCACTGTTCTGTTCACACTGCAGCTCTCTGGAGAGTTTTGTCTCAGCAAAGCCCTAAGACCACAAATGTTGCTTTTCAGCTGAAATAAACAGGATAAAGAGAGAAATACCTGAAGCCCTGTGCAGCTGGGATTACTGTTGATGTCAGGTGCTTTTTCCATATGGATCTGACCACCTGCTGCTTTGGAGATGCTATTTCCCAAATAAATGCTTTTAACCTTCACTTTGCAAATACTTCTACCAGAAAAGAAAAAAAAACCTCAACAACAATAAATATTGTGCCTGCCTGCGTGAAGAAGAGGGAGGATGACCCTGTATAATAGTACAACTTATTCAAGTCACTTCAGTGTTCCACCTAAAAGGCTTCCCTTCCGAGATAGTTATCAGGCTGCTTCTGCAGTCAGCAGAGAGATCCAGGCCCTCTGGATGATTCATCTCATCCAATGTTACACAAGGAAAATAGTTGGATGAAATCTGCTTTGAAGATGCCTCCCCTGGCAGTTCATTTCCCAACTGACCTTTAAATAACAGGCACATCTAGTAACAGGCTCTCACCACACTGGGATGAAGATTGCCCACTTGAAACCTCTTCACAGTTTTCCCAATTTATGGTCATACTTCCTGCTTTGCACAGAAAAAAATGTACAACTGAAAAAGAAGAGATACCTTTCTTTTGCTGACAAGCCCAAAAGATCCTTTTTGCTAAAGCATATCCCTTGGTAGCCTCAGTTGCATCACAGAGCAAGTCAACTTCTGTGCTAACTAAAGGAGCAAACATTTTATGCATAACACATTTTGGTTTGCCACTGAGACGGAGCAATGGATGGCCAAGGGAAACTGGCGCTTGCTGTAATCTTTGTGTGACAACTGAGTCCCCTCTGTATTAAACTCAGAGAAGCCTGGCTGGTGCTCTCCAATTTTTAGTACAAAGACAGAGAGACATGAGGACAATAAATGCGGATAAATCAGGCATTTGCAGTAATTGTATCTTTTAGTCAACTTTATTAATGAATCTTCAGTGCAAAGTGAAATTATCCCAGGACAAAAACACCAGCAAGTTGAAGTACAGCACATTTCCATGTTAACTACACTACCTTCCCCTTTGCACTGATTTGGGCAATATGTATAACGTTCAGAGAATGGAATCATATGCCTCTAGTTCCCCAGTACTCAGTAGCCAATATTATTAACAGCACAGTCAAAATCTTTCAAGCTTATCCTCAGGCAAAACTCACCCTAAAATCAGTGGAAATTTTGTGGTGAATAAAGACTGAATAAGAACCAAAGTCTCATCTCAATTCTCAGTTGAGATTTGCAGATCAACCATCAGGACTGGAAATATGTTTGATTTTTATCATCATGAGAGAACAGCTGGGCCCAGTAATCCCAATTCTACCCCCTCTTAATTCCAGCATCAATGGGCAGATACACAAAACAGAGTTTGGAATCTGGTTGCTCAAGGTTAAACTATAAAGTAATTGTACTGGAGAAGAAAGAAAGCAATTTCTGAGGCTCTTTTTCTGGTATTCCTTTACCATGGCTTTCCTGCAACTCCCTGAAAAAGACTTGGTTTAAAAAAGCTGTTCAGATTTCCTCCAGTGCCAGACACCACATTTTGTTTGGCATATACATTTCTGATAGCCTTTCCACCGCAGATGTCTATAAAGTTCACATCAGTCAGTTCTTCAAACTAGATATATTAACACCAACACAGACAATTTTGTTCCAAGCTCAGTTTCTTCTTACGTCTATGTTCTGCTGCTCATTTTTGCTTCTGTAAAGATGACAGTATTGCTACATATCCAGGACAATCAGGACTCTTGTGATGCTTAACACAGACTGTACAATGCTGTAATGGCCCATTTTCACGGTCAGCAATGAGGCCTGACACATCAGCAGCTTCTGGCACTAGCAGTTTGCTGAGGGAAAGGGGAGATTTCAACTTCATTTCATTTCTCTTTTTTGCTTTTCCTAACTTCTTTCCAGAAATGACAATTCTTGAAAATGCACATGTAGAAATAAAAAAAAGAAAAGAAAAAAAAGGCAACAGCCACCATAAAACCTCCACCCAGTTATCACTGTAACATTTCTTAGGTGGGAAAATAGGGTCCAGTGACATTTGAGGTGAGGAGGAAAAGGCAGGGGGGGAAGGGGCCACACATTTCAGACTCCTTTAAGCCATCACAAGAGTTAGAGATATGAAAAATAGTTTATAATTACCTCTGTTGAGTGAAGCTGAACTGTTTATATCTCCAGTAATAAAGGAAGACTCGGACTGCTTTCGAACTGTGTCATTCCACATCCTACGAATCCGGCTCTGAAGAGGGATTGAACCACAGCAGGTAATGAATTTTTAGCAGCTGCAGAGAGGTTTCTTTCTGCCTCACTAAAGATGGCTATTGGCATGTCTAGCTCAGGATGATACTTGTTTCTAGCCAGCTGTAAGCAAGCAGTTGCCGTTTTGCTATAACCTGCCTCGTGCACGTCAGACCCTGCCTGCCTAACTTCGTAAGACAAACGCATAGCCCAAAGAAGAAGTGCATAATTGAATTGCTTACATCTTAATTTAAAAAAATCATGCATGAGAGAAACCCAGACCCCTGTGGGCTACAGGTTTACCAATAAAGCACCAAATAATGGAAAAATAACTTACACACAGAAGCACACGTGCTTCCCGTACTAACTCAGACACCTTGATTCTTATTTTTTTGAAGTGCAAGAACAAGAACAAGACTTGTTCTGTGTCTTGGTGTCCCTGAATGAACAGAGGTTTTATATAGCTATTTCGCATCTTGGGGATACGGGGAGGAAAAAAATTCCCCACAAACGAATGACTTCTGTTCCCCTACTGATGGTTTTGCCATCTATGGTATGGCTTCTGCTACTGGGGAAAGTGTCCTGAATATGCTGGCCTTCTGCTTTGTTTATCAAATATGCTCTATCTGCCACTGTGGCTTTTATATCATTGTCTCACTCCTCCCCAACTAGACCTTGCAAAAGATCAAAAAATCAGCCAAAATGCATCTTGTGAGCGGTTTGACAATCCCTGTGTGAAGATGACTGGAGAACCCAGGCATCCAAGGGAAACTCTCCCTCACCTCAGATTTCAGAGTATGATGGACACATCCCATGGCTGCATGAAATTGGTGCTTAGGTGGTCTGGGGGACTGGGAAACCTAATTCCCACTGTGACAGATCATGTTTTTCCAAAGTGTATTTTCCATAGTGAGAGCTTAGCCATGAGAGATTTTTCAGGGCTTAATCATGTGGTACAAGCTGAAAAGTCCTAGTCTACTCATTAACTATGTAGTAACAGCATCTCCTAATCATGCATTAGCCCTCTATAAATGGGAGCACAATGTGACATGAGGTCCATGCACTTTTACAGTAATTATTTTTCACCTGGACATTTAATCTATTGTATTTCTCTGACATGAGCCACTGTGGATTAATTATTCTGTTTGTTATGTGCTTCTCAGAGTAAAAAGGGATCTTAAGAGTTTTCTTTCTCATGTTATTCTCTATTTAAAGTTCAGAGTCAGATGCTTTCAACAACTCAGAGTGATCTCCATCCACTCTCCATCACGTGTGTGAGGTTCCTCCTGCCCATAAGAGGTCTCAGGTACTTCGCTCCTTCCAAAGACAAGCTTTTGCTTTTGTACCTCAAACCTCATCTGCCATGAAGGTACTGCTGCCAGAAGACTCAGTTCACCCAAGAAAAGGTTTGTTTTCTTGTGCTGGGACTGACAAGAGGGAGGACCCATTAAAGTAAACACTTCCTGGAGAGGAGGGCACCAGTGCAATAGTTAAGTTATGTAAAACTTTCAAATCAGCCACCTAAATGTTGCTGGATAGAGTGAGTTTTGGACATTACTGATTTCTGTGGGGTTTGATGGCCTACTGGAGGGAGGTTCTATGTTCTATTGCTTTTATTTGTTCTGCATAACTTCTAGACCTACGAAAATGCCAAAGTGGAGCTCTTGGATGACATCTTGGAAACTGCCAAAAATAAATAATAATTTGCTCCAAGACATAAATCACAAATTAGGTTTTCCCAGGAAGTTATAAACTGTTACTTGCTGCTTGTCTTTCATAATTTAATAGTGAAACTGTCATGTATAATTACTTCCATTACTAATACTGAATAAATTTGTGTTTGGTTTCTATTGATTAAGAAGTAAGCTTCTTCATTTTATATGAACTGCTCATCCATAAATCTCTACACAGAAGTTGGTTTCAAAAATGCTAAGTGCACAAACTACACAAAGCCTGAATTTTCAGGTGACCAAAGCGTAACAAATCCAGTAACTCAGTCAGATAATCTGACCCAAATGGATTCTCCTAAGAGGTCTATGAACTAAGGTAAATTGATCAAACTACTGAATGCCAGAAAGCAAATCCTTTCACTGTGAAGCCTATTGCAAGATTGGTTTTTTTATCAAGAAAAATACTTGGTCATTATAGCATCATTCCTGGACATGTTAATAGTGGTGACAACCTTAATCTCGTGATTAAAGGATGCATTGGAATGTAGCACAGCTGACAAAATGCTCTCAGCTCCTGATCCCCTGACCACCCACCTGTCCCTGGAAGGCAAGTTTGAACCTTCTATTCCCAACACAATTATGTAGAAGGTTCTTGGAGAAGCACTAATTACCATCACATCTCAAGGGAAGCCACTGTGTTGAACTCGGGTCCAGAAGGGAGGGCAATCTCTGCAGGTGCACTGGGAAGAGCCCTAAGGCAGCTCCTTTGGTGCTGAAAGGTGCTTTCCTCCAAGAACAGCTGACAAGGGTATTGGTGTGGCAGTGCAAATCATTGGGGCACTAACAAGAAGTGTGGGTTACCTGTGAGCCTGTGGAGTATCTTCCAGGTGTCCTTGACCCCGAGGTTTTTCCTGAGCCGATAGAACTCTCTGTACTTTTCCCACTACAGCAATGCGTGCGCAGGCATTTTCCATACTCTTTACGTACCTAGCCAAGGAAAGCGCAATGGTGGTTAGCAGGCAGCTCCTCCTCCAACCCACTGCCTTCTGATTTTGAGCACAGCCCCTGATGTTTCCTCAGTGGTTCATTAAAGCAATAGCTGCTGCAGTGCGTGGGGAAGGAGTCTATTACGCCTTGCAGCTGAATGCTCTGGAGGCGTGAGCTCATGGTTTACGATGGCATAAGCGACTGCTTCCATGCAGCAAAGCTGCTTGTTGACACCAGCCCCTTGTAGCGTCCTTTGAGGCACATCAAAAGAGCATGGGAGAAAGTACAGATACACTATTTATGACTTAAAATTAATATCCTCATAGATTTGATATAAAATAGCATATTGGCTCATCAAGGTACTAAAAGTTATTGCTTCTGGCAGGGGACTAAGAAAAAAAATTCCAAGAGAAACATATCAGAGATATCGATTTTTTTTTAAAAAAATGTTTCCTGCTGTCAAATCGAAATTCGAGGAAACTGTAGAGCCAGCAGCCCTAGAGATTATATTCCCAGTGCTCAGGTGTGGCTGGAGTCTGCTCTTCCACAGCACTGTGCAAGCCACTTATGTTTTAAATGGGCATTGCAGTCAAACCTATGTTGCCTTCTCTGCTTCAGGGGACCTACACTAACTTGTGCCAGGGCAGGATCTAAGTCTTGACTGAGTTTCAGGTGTGACTTTTTACAGACATCAATACCCAGAAACCAGATGGGACAGGAGTGAAAATGAGCAGACTATACTGAAGAGCCAAAAGAGGGTCATGTTACACATTGACACAAAAGAGCCCAAAAAAATCCATGCATGTCCAAAACACCAGTTGAGAATTCTCGGAGCACATGGTTAGCCATAAAATTTTGCCAAACTGTCTATGAGCATTTCACAACTCCATGAAACAACTGTTTAAATAGCAAATTACAGCTTTTTCATTAGGCTTTTCCTTAAGCGCTTGAGACAAACACAATACCACAAGTGCCCAATATGCTCGAGTGCCTAATCAATCCTTTGCTGAGAGAAAATAATTCAATTGCTTTAATTAGCCACCCACTGCTTGCCTCTCTGCAGTATTTTGCTGATTTTCTAGTCCATGATACATAGGAAAGGATTCTTTTTTCTCTTCTTAAATAATACCTCCCTCAGCTCTTAGGTCAGAGAGCTGCATTCACCCTACAGCAAGGCACCAGCTGCATTCTCCTCTCTATGCTGCCATAAATCATGAGTGACTCCACAGTCATCAGTGATGGTTTAAGGATGCAGATTGTCTTAAGAGAGAAAAGAAATGGTTCTTCCATGCCGAGTGAGAACTGCACTAGCCAAGGAGGCTGTGGTGCCATGCTAGGCTGGGCTAGGGACTGACTCTTTGTGAGGTGCATTGTAGGCCAGAGAACGGACTAGCGAGAATGGCGCAGAAATTCAAACTCCTCATCAGAGAGGTATCTGCAGGTTTAATTGGCGATGGTGATGCTTCCTACTTTCTTGCTATCATCTTGCCTTGAAACTTTCTTGCTGAGAGTTTTGGGATCATCAGCAGGCAGCTGCATCTAGATAAGGCTTTTAAGATTCTTAAGATGTAAAAATTTGAGATGCAATGACAAAGACAAAACTCTGAACTCCCAAAGTTTTCTTTTGGTTTCAAGAAAGACATTTTCACACAACTCTGCAGATCCTTCCAGAGGCATCGCTCACAGAGCTCACTTATTATGATGAAATTTGATTATCACAGAATCATAAAATCATAGAATGTTAAGGGGTTGGAATGGACCTTAAAGGTCATCTAGTCCCAATCCCACTGCCATATGCAGGGAGACCTCCCACTAGATCAGGTTGCTAAAGGCCTTATCCAATGTGGCTTTGAACACCGTCAGGGTTAGGGCATCGACAACCTCCCTGAGCAACCTGTTCCAGTGTCTAATCACCCTCAAAGGAAAAATTTTTTTCCTAATATCTAACCTAAATTTCCCCTCTTTCAATTGGTACCTATTAGTCCTTGTCCTGTCACTACAGTTCCTGATGAAGAGTCCCTCTCCCTCTTCCCTGTAGGCCCCCTTCAGATACTGGAAGGTTGCTATGAGGTCTCCACACAATATTCTCTTCTCCAGACTGAACAGCCTCAACTTTCTCAGCCTGTCTTTGTAGGAGAGGTGCCCCAGCCCTCTTATCAACTTCGTGGCCTCCTCTGGACTTCCTCCAACAGTTCCGTGTCCCTCTTATGCTGGGCACACCAGAACAGAATGCAGTATTGGTGGGGTATCACCAGAGGAGAGTAAAGGGGTAGAATCACCTCCTTCAACCTGCTGGCCACGCTCCTTTTGATGCAGCCCAGGATTCCATTGGCAAACTTGCTGAGGGTGCACTCGATGCCGCTATGTCACCAACAAAGATGTTGAACAGTATCAGCCCCAGCAGCAACCCCTGAGGGACACCACTCATCACTGGTCTCCACACGGACAATGAGACATTGACCACAACACTACGTGCAGCCATCCAGTCAATCCTTCATTCACCAAATGGTCCATCCATCAAATCCATGCCTCTCCAATTTGGAGACAAGGATGTCATGTGGGACAGTGTTAAACACTTCACATAAGTCCAGGTGGATGATGTCAGTTGCTCTGCCCCTATGTTTTCCTAGGTCAGATCTCCCTTCCCTGTATAGGAATATGTGAATAACACAGGAGCAAGACTGGGGCTCTCAGATGGAGAACAGATCTAAACATGGCCCTGACTTTACTCAGTAAGCCATTTCACCAAAAGACACTAGTTACACTGAGAAGCTGGGACCAGTGTATCCATATATAAACTCTTCCCTATATTTATATTGGTTAAAGAAACTGCCCTTTGAAACTAAGATGTACATAAAAAAATTATCAGCAGAAATGCACAGAATTGGAGAGCTCTGTACTACTATATTTCAGTAGAGAACAAAAAGGTTCTTAAAAATATTTATTACTGATTGTCAGAGGCTGCAAGTCTGATCTACATATACACACAGAGATTTTTATTATGTTTTTTTTCCCCCAGAGTTTACCTAAGCTATTCCACTGCTATCTTGCAAATGTTAATTGGGGCATACTTCAAGTTCCAGCAAGAAGCACTTGCTGTGCTTGCTTTGAGGAAGATTTCCAAAAGCCCACATCAGGCCCAAGCAATATAAAGGCAGAGCACACATCTTTCAGTCCTCAAAAAAGCGGGGGAAGCAGCCCCTATTACATACCATCAACCCAAATATTCTGCTATAGAAAGGGGTAATTTCCTGTAGGAACTGCAAATAAGCATGTAAAGCTCCATTTTGCTGTGAGCACTCAGCCACAGGAGCACTTTCCTGATATTCATGGATTTGCTCCTGTCTCACACTGGCATACAGGAAAGGAGAATCTGGCTGACAGCAGGCAAGTCCTGGTCCAGGTTCGCTATTGTAAAGCCCTGCCTTTCCCTTGCCTCTGATACATGTGTTGCCAGCGCCCTGGCTGCTGAAATGCCATTGCCACATATCTTTGTTATCACCTCATCCCCCTGCATCTTGCTGGTTTCCATTTTAAACACCACCCTTATTAGGTGCATAGAGATAAAACTGCGTGAGACGAATTCAGGGACGCAGATGATGCTATGCTGTGGTTGTTAGGCAACAAAACACCCCGTTACCAGTTCTCTTGCCACTGGGAACCATCTGTCTTACCTTTTTCTGGAGGACACAATGGAAAATGAATATAAACATTCCCTGCAGAGAATTGAATATGGTGAAGAGATACGCCATGATGACTGTGCTTTCATTAATATACATGAGTCCAAATGCCCAGGTCAGTCCTAATAGGCAGAGTAGGGCTATTGCACCTATAACCCAGGACCTGTTAGGAGAAACAAAAAACAAAAAAAAAAGAAAGGGATTGGTCTTTCATCTACACAAAAGAAGGCACATGTCTACAGGCAGGAAGACTTTGCCCCTGTTTTTAGCAAAAAAACCCAGCATATCAAAATAAATCACAAGGAGCTTTGTCTTCAAGCTGGATGCAGTTTACAAATCTTCAAGCTTGAGGAAATATAAGGAGATGGAAGTGTTATGAGCACAGAAATTCATCACAACCAAAGCACAATGTCTCTTTTCTTTTTTTAACACGTAAAAGCAGTGTGCATGTAAATGACATGTAGATGTTATTTCTGCAAATGGAGGAAACGAAAATAAACCAAACGAAACAACTCTAATTGCCACATTTTTAGTGTCCACTGGCTTCATAGGACTGTCAGTTGGATTAGTTTCTTTACACTTAACACCAAGATACATGTATTGCTGTATTTTAGCTAGTCTCCCGTATGCCTGTAAGCCAGATAAACTACTACAGGCAGGTGTGCAAGCCCTCACCGCTTGCCAGATTGGCTCCACACAAGGATGTTCTTTGCGATGCTGCTTCACGCTTCTTCCACCCTGCGATGAGGGGAACTGCGTATACGCGCATAGGCACTCACACGCTGCATTTGCTAAAATGGTAGCTGCTGCCACACTTCTGCTTGGAGAAAGGAGGGGCAATCCTTCTTCACATCGGCTGCAAAACTAAGATTATCTTTTGCTCTATCTCAGGAGGGGAGTGGGAGTAAAGGTGCAGCCATTGCTTGGTACCAAATGGTTTTCAATCAAATATGAGTAGTGGGCACTTTGTTTGCTTTCTTTCACTAACTTTCTGCTTGGAGAGAAAGAACTTGGGGACATGAGATGACTGCTGCATGTTAGTTTTTCTGTGTGCTTTCAGGAAAGCTAGAAGCTTTGCTGGGATGTCAGGAGAAGTATTCCATGTTACGCTGCTAAATAACATTTAGTCATCTGCTAAATTAGCTTCTCGGAGACTGATCTTCCAATACCAGAACAAGAGAGTAAGTGTGATCAGCAGTATAGGAACTCAGTCCTGCTACTAGCCACTTCCCTAGTTTCCACATGCTATATTACCTACAACTTTAAAGGAATTGCTGCTGCACAGGGGAGGGGAGTCAACTTTTAGCTGGGAAACAAGCAGCACTGTGAGCATCCGTTTGCCCTTTACCTCAAGGCTTTGATTTTCCTCTGTTGTCCCCCGCTATTATTAGGTGCAGCATCATAAAAATGAATGCACTGATACCCAGTCTTTGCACCCCTTCCTTACCATTTAACCCTTCTGTTCCCCAAAGCAGACAGGACTGCAGTCAGCCAGCACCTCTGCTTCCTTGTCTACCCCAAAGCAGCCTGAGGTGCTGCAGAAGGGCTCGCAGGGACAAAGACCTATCTTATGTTTCCAGGACAATTCAAGTTTGCAGAAATGTGGCCTGGGTTTGGGCATATTTAGGCTTCCATCTGCTCAGCAGAGCATGGGGCGAGGGGGAGAAAGATGAAGGAGCAGTAACTTGGGGGGAAAATCAGTCCTGCAGAGGTCAGGGAGACAATCTCTGCTATGGAGATGCCATGGCAGCTACAACCTTGAATGCTTTTCCTTTTAGCAGGGCTTGTCACAAACAGAAGCATACTAATGTTGTATTCATGTCTTCTGGGTTTTTTTGGGTTTTGTTTTGTTTTTTTTTTCTTTAGGTATGAGAATGAAAATGCAGCATTAAGTCTTCCACTGAAGTTTATAAAATATGTATTATTTAACCACACAACCAGAAGAGCTCCCTAAGGTAATTGCTTATTAAGACAGTTCTTTAAAAATCACTATTATGTATCTAGCAGACCAGAACAGCTCCTCTGAAGCATTTCCAGTCAATCCCACTAATAAATATTTAGCATGATGCAAATTGAAAACGCACTCTCAACAATCCCTCAGAAAAGTAGCCACTAGATAAAGTTTATACCATTAGTTGTTAGGGTTATTTTCTTCCTGAGATTCCACCACCAGTGAGAGAACTATCATCCTAACCACATGGTAATTAAAAAAATACAAGTACTTTTTTTTCTTTAAAAAAATCCAAATGAAATGGAAAAGACTTTTTTTTTCTCCCTCTTCTCATCCCCGATTAAAAGCTTACTGCACTTACAGAGTCTTCTAAAAATTATTTCCTGGATATCAGAAATGTATTCTGCTCTGAAGCACAGCCAATTCTTGAAACTGATTAAAGAGCCTTTGGCTGCAGAGGTGTGCAGGAATGAAACAGTTATTTAGCGAAAATATGCTACCTTCAGTGATGGAAAGGAATCTGTGGGTTAGAAGACCCCCAAGAGTGCAAACTGCACACATTACAGCGTTGTATGTCAGAAAACAAGACCTGGAGATAAAAAGGGCATGAAGATTACTATGAATAGCTCCATCCCATATCCGCAGAAAAAAAATGAACTAAGCAATGAAAGAGAACATGGGAATGGTGCTGAAAGAATGAACACAAAGGACTCTTCACCAGAAGAACAAACTGAAAGTCTACTGCAAAGTTGATTTGCTTTTATTTTGTGCTACTGCACATTATTTTCTGGTTTCAGGAGAAAGAGCATGGGTGCCCTAAGGTATGTAATTTCTAGGCATTTTTGGCTTTCTTTACAGGGTTGGTTGGTTTTTTTTGGTGCAGCTTGAGGTTTTTTGTCTTGCTCTTTGTACAGACTTGCTGTTGCTTTTTCATAGTTTTTCTTTTCCATAGTGGAATTTTATTGCAATAAAGAAAGAAAAACAACCATGTTTTGGTGTAATTGAAAATCAGCGATTTACAATTAGAGACAATTAGGTGCTCCAAAGAGTAAGGAGCCTCCAATGCACCAATGCACACAGATTTGCTTGTGCTATTCCCAGTAACTAGAAAGGGAATCATGGGGAATAGCACCCATGCACCTTTCTGAAAATTTGCTTCTGTATTTACCATAAAGTACTCCCAGTGACAGAGCACAGTGCACCAGAGGGCTGCTATTGGGATAACAAGTCTGTACTATACAGAATTAACTTGGGAACTTTCACCTTGAATTCAAGTATGTCCAATTAAAGAACAGAAAGCAAATAGGGTGACAACTGGTTGGCAATACATATGCAGTACATTTACTCTGCACCTTAGCTGTATGCCTGACCATTTTCCTGCACAGTTTGCTCTTCTGCCTCAAAAGCGAATGACAGAAGCTTTAATGATTTTTCAATATTGATCTGACAGCTGGCTCATGAGACCACACTGATAAATGAAATTTATCAGCCATTCAGGTCATTCTTACTTGATGAAGGGTCTGTTATCCTCATAGCTAAAGAATGCGTAGACATAAAGACAAGAACACAAACATTAGAAATATAATGACATAGAGAATATAGTTTACTGCTAGTTCCCCTCCCTTCTCCCACCAGCCATCACCAAAAACAAAGGTGGACCAGCATCAGCCTGGAACACACCAGCCAGCCTGGTTTGCTTCCCCAGGGAATTGAAACACGACCGAGGTCACTGGCTTCATGTACAGAAGCAGGCATTGCTAGCTGTGAGCTGCAGCTGCCCCTCCTGGCTTCCATCATGCAGCTGTCAATTGACTCTGAAATTTCTTTTAAAAATCATGGCTGTTTCCGGAGAATACAAGTTTTGAAACCCCAGCATAGCCACCACAGAGGGCTTTCACGTTTCAAGTGGCAAAACTTCACCACGTCTCCAGCACTCTCTGCCTGTGGGGCTGGAGTGTATTACAGGGATGTCTTTATTGCTCTTTACTTTTTCAAACTGGAAATCCCAAGCTGCCACACTATGAGTCAGACTGCAGCATTCTTCAGGTAATGGCATCAGGATCTTCTAAAGTCCTGGGTGACAGAAAGCATGTTTACTCCCATTTCATGGGGAAGGACAAAGAAAGGCCTTTTTCTGCCGGCAAACGTGCAAAGCAGCCCGCTGCAGTGATGAAGGAGCCAAGACGGATCACTCAAAATGAGCTTCTATCACTGTGAGGACACAAGATTAGTTGCAGCCATTTTTCCTAGAGAAGTCTCCCTGACCTTCTGGGACAGGCTGTGTGCTTAATTCTGCCTGTGTGGCAGGTGATGTGCAACATGTGGGGAATGCAGGCCAACTCCCAGGCCTCCTCTCCCCACTGACATGGAACTCTTGAACCTGAGATCTCTTGCAGAAACCACCATGGGTGCCAGAGATGGAGGATTACTCAATATGTTCATCTCATTACCCCTGGTAACAAAGCCAGGGCCAGTCCATCCTGGTGGGATCTCCTTCAGTCAGTACTGGCAACCTGCAGCTCTCCTACAATGCAATTAGATGAAGTGAAGACATAAGATAATCTGGAGCTGTCAGCTCAGCCATGTGGGTAGGAGCAGGGCCTGGATTTCTATTACTGGGTTCACAAGCACTCAGGTTTTATGGTAAAGACTTTATACTGAAAAGTCACCAGCAATAGATTACAAAAATAGAAAGTCAGGGAATTTTTTTATGCTGTTGCTGCTGTCCCAAGCCTCACAAAGTTTTTCAGTGATTCATAATAGCCTTTTTTCAAGGCAGCTGAAGGGTCCATTTCATCTTTGTACAGACAAAATGCGAAATTGGTAAACTCAGATTCGCTTTAAGCTTGAGGCTAACACTTCAAAGCAGCTCAGAAGAAAACCATCAAAAAGACCTTTGCAGTTTTCACCCCATTTCCAACGTAGATGTGTCTAGGATCCACTGCCCAAAGCCAAAAGGTGGCTAAAGAGGTGAGATTTTCAAAGATGCCTAACTTCCAAATGGTTTAACTCTGTACACATAGGGCCCATAGAACTTAGTCCCTTACATCCTCATGAAATACAACCCTTTTCATTTTACCAACTCGAGTGTTGTAAGAAGCTTAACTCTTGCGTTAGCAACAATTTCTGACAAAAATTACTCCAGAATGTTTTTGGTTTTTTACCCCTGGAAAAGTCTGTGAAACCTATCAGTGCTTCAGTAATACTGTGTCATTATCTGCAATACATAAAAACCATCACTTAGACAAGAGAAAAGCCTTGGAAAAGCCTTAGTTCCCAGAAAAATGGAGCTGCTAACTGGAAAACTGAGATTATATTCATTAGTTGTAAAAGCAAATAAAATTTGAAGCAGAAATAATTGGAAAACCTAGCCTAGCACAGTTTGAGTTGCTACATCTAAAGTGCTTCTCCAGATTTGGATAAATTTGTCCAATACCTGGCAGTAAGGGATACAGCCCACTGGATTTAAGCTATGTGACTCTGATTCCTCCATAGTTAATGGGAGACTGGTATCCCACAAAAGGAATTTATCCCCTAGAAGAACAGGTATTTAAGGTGGATGAGGTTTTGCTATTCCCTGATGAAATGCGTTTCTCTACTGACTGCAGAGGAAATCTGAATGATGGCTTAGGTGGGGGCTTCACTTTCAAATACCTGAAGGTAAAAAGCTGATCTTTAGTGATTGCATTATTCATTTAACCTGCAAAATCTTACCTCACCTCCCTTGTGTTTCTTTGCAGCCCAGATGATGGATAGCGGATGGTCTACCAATCCGTATAAATACCTAATTCATTTTCTAATCTTAAAAAAGCCCTAACTTTACCTCGGGGCAAAGACTTCTTAAGGTTAATTACACATCATGTAAAACTCTTTCAAAATCTTATTTAAGTTAGATGTCTTTCAATTTCCCAGAGTAACTTCTCCTTCAATGATGAGAAAGGATTGTTCATATTACCTTCCGTATTCCCGTGATATTTCCAGACCAATACTTTTTTTAAAAGTTGCTAAAATTTGCCAATTCAAAGTATTTTCCCATCTCTAAGACAGCAGGAAAAGGCTCAGTAAGCACATGGACTCAGAGCTTGGGCCCCAAAATAACTGTCTGGCTAGCAAGCAAAAATGCCAAAGTGAGTACACAGGACCTTTAGTAGCTGTTAAGGGTGATGAAACTCAAATAAAAATAGATGGATGATGTGCCCCCTCACAAGCATTCTGAAAGACCCACGGAATTCATTTTAATATGGTGCAAATAAAGCAGAGAGACAGACGTTTCCTGCAGGCATGCAGGAGGGAAGCACAAAATAAAGTGTGCTATTGTGTCTCCCCGATGCCTGCTCGTATAAGGTACTAGGGATGTTTTGCTTTCTTTTTCTTTTTTTTTTTTTTTTAAATTTCAAGGATTAGAAAAGATTGATTTATTGAACTGATGAAAATCTACAGGAAGGAGCTGGAAAGTCCAGCACTCCCCTCATAAAGCAAACGGGTTCATCGTTAATTAGTGAAGGAGCATCTTCATGGTGAGAAAAATCAATAGCTAGCAATAAAAGAGTGCTTAAAGGATTTTGCCTTCGAGTTTCATGACAAAGTTACCACCTTGATGGCATGAAGCCAAATGGCTTCCTAATCTCCTTCCTTAGGCTGCTAGTGTTCATCACACAGTCATCATTTCCCAGTCTCATCTTCTGGCTCCCACACTGTCTTTGACAGTAGGTGGCCCACCCCCTGAAGACATCTGTAACCAGCTCAGGGGTCAATGGGCCTGTCAGCTTCATTTGCAGGAGAAAACCTTGGCTTTACATGGCAAAAGTGTAATTTTATATATATTTAAAGCCACTTCTAACTTCTACCAGTAGATCTAAGATTTTATTCAGACGAATGAGGCCAAACCTTCCTTGGCCCCATGTGATGCCTGAGCTTAGGATTTGGGACAACCAATGGCTGTGTTTTTCTGCCAAAGGAAAAGCATCATCCCTTTTCCCTCAACTCACCCAGGGAAGTCACAGTCTGCTTTCTGAGATTTGTTCTTAATTATTGCAATTGGAAAGAGCAATTCTGTTAAGCTCATCTCATTTTCTGTAAGTAATTAATTACCCTCAGAATTGCTTACCCTGTTTATTTCCTTCCTCCTAACTTTGCAAAGGCATGGTACGATTATTCAAGCCACGCTGATGTGTAACCACATATCTAATTGTTTCCACACTATATGGATTCAGCAAAGCCTTTAGACACATTTGTATTATCCAAATAGCACCAGCAGGGCTTGCTGACAAAGTGCTTAAAATGTATGGCCTTTTAAAACAATAATCATGATTTATGGGTTCACAGAAAGACTGTAGGTATTTAATATCTTCCAGGACACTCTCTCAAATCAATAACCACTGATTGATTTTTTTTTTTTTAAATTCAGAAAGGACGATACCTGTCAGTGGGAAGATTAGTGCTTTACAATCACCATTCAACATTAACACAGCCATCACAAAACCATAGGGAAACAAGCAAGACCCCAAACCAAATCAATCTGATATTAACCAAACCCTTCTGTGGAAAACTCAGGCAGCAGCAGATTGCAACAAACAAAATGGGATGCTGCCATCAACATCACTGGGGGGAAAAGGCACCCAGAAAAAAGCACAGTCTCAGATGTTTTTCCAGTAGGGTTTTTGCCACTGATGTGCTCCCAAACTCTGCACTCTGGCAAAATAAAAATGTGCCGTATCTTTTCTTGGTAGGAAGCTTGTAAATAATTCATTTTGAGCCAACTCTGAGTGATTTTTCTGGTTTTGCTTTAGGCTGCCTGTAAGTTTGCTCAAGCAGAGATGCAGAAGAAGGCTATATGGAGCAGCAATGGGTTAACCAAGGCACTAGGAAGCATGGTGCTTTCTTACACAGGATCCAGGGAAATGCAAGACGAGACTTCGCTTGTTCAGCCTGAAGAAAAGGAGATTGAGAGCAGACCTCATGGCAGTCTACAACTTCCTCATGGGGGAAGAGGAGGGACAGGCACTGATCTCTTCTCTGTGATGGCTCAGTGACAGGACCTGGCCTAAAGTTGTGCCAGAGGAGGTTTAGGCTGGATATCAGGAAAAGGTTCTTCCCTGCGAGGGTGGTTGGGCACTGGAACAGGCTCCCCAGGAGAGTGGCCACAGCACCAAGTGTGACAGAGTTCAAGAAGCGTTTGGACAATGTTCTCAGGCACATGATGTGATTCTTGGGGTAGGGCCAGGTGCCGGACTTCGATGGTCCTCAGAATATTCTATAAATCTATGACTGTATGACCATCAGGATTGTGAAGACATAGTACTCTCTCTCAAGGCCATATGAAACACACTGATCATAGCCTGAGCTCTGGTGTGATAAAAGTGAGGGAGGCAGTTTCTAATGCCCAGCTCAGTACTCCACGGCTAACATCTAAAATTTTCAGAGAGGGAGGTTTTCCAAGGGAAAGAAAAAGCTATTGCTCATTTTCTAAAGTGCCTAGATCATTTGTTCATCCTTGCAAAACACTCCGGTTAAGATTTCTGGTGACAGAGAATGT